AGTCTGGCCCAAATGAGTTTAGAACAGCTTCAGATGACATCGACGGGAATGCTTGATGGTTGGCATTAGTTGTCTTTCCGTCTGTCTCCTGCATAAACACCGGGTCATTGAGAAATTAGCATAATGGGGAATTTCATAATTAGCTACTCTTTACTGAGTCTAGGGAAGCGAGACGTGTAGCACGCATGGGGGAGGGGATCAGTCGGGGACCTAGGTTTAGATGGGAGGATAATATTAAGAAGGACGTTAAGAAAATTAGGTGTGAATTTTAGTGTCCCCTGAAACGGTCCGATGGTGGGTTATTTTGAACATGGCAGTGAACCACGGGTTCTGTAGTAGAAGACGGTGGATTTATTGACCAGTTCCGTCAGGTTGCCAAGAGCGACTAGATTTAGTAAAGTCTGTTGAATTCGATGGTGTAGGTGGAAGATGACATTTAATGGATAGTCTTAACTTTTTTAGGATTGTATTTGACGGTAGGCCTACTGAAATCACTCCAGAGGCGCTGTGTGTGTGAGATAACACAGACACGAAGTTAAACTTCATTCGTTGCTCAGATATTTTCAGGGCACAGTTCATCCGGAGCCTGCGTGTTGAATTTGACATGATAAACATGTCAGATATGTTTGCTAGAAAGTCATACTGTTTGTTGTAAGATCGCAGGCAGTTTGTGTCTGTGTTAATAGAATCTTGATATTTATAACACGACCTGCCCATTAAATATGTTCCATTTTCTGAGACTGCAGCCCCGTTCAAGGGATTATGTCTTTAGCTGACTGCAAAACTGCGTCACAAAAAGCATAAAATTAAATTCGGTTGTTTGTTGACAGATCGCTCCCTCCCGGAAGTGACCTCACGACGTGCCAGGCTGTGACGTCACGAGTTGTCACGTGATTCGCAGAGGTTCATTGATCTGTTCTGACAGAATTGGGAAGGCGTGTGTCCTCTCTCACGTTTGACAATTTTACTTTCGGGGATGTTCATGTCAAAGTGGAATCATGTGTTTGCACTGACGTGTTAACGAAATTGTGGGCAATGGATTTCCGTCAACTCGTTCCTGACTACAGTTGATTGTGTTCCAGTTTTCTGGGGTCATTGACCCTGGCCACTTTCGGCTTGACGTGATGCGTTCTTTTTGACAAATTTTGTCTCGAAGCGTAGCCTATGGCGTTCCTTTCTTTCAACGAAGAAGGGTGAGGTGATGTGATATCAGTTTCAAGACGACTGTCTTCAGGGAGGTGCGTCGTTAGTTTGTGATGTAGGCAGCAAGCTCATCTGAAAATTCATTTTCTAGCAGACAGCAAGGCACAACATGCCAGAAAGTCTGACTTGACTTGCGCAGACTTGTCGAGCTGCCAGAAAAGGCAAATCGTTTCTCGCTCTGCTTGCAAAACACTGCACTCATGAGGGCATGCCTCTTGCTGCATGAAGAATAATGTCTGTGCTCCTTGAAGGCCTTCTCGCTGGTAAACGATCGATGCACCCCTTTGAAAGGGGGGGGGGAGCTATAAAACGATGGCGTTTTTCACACAACCAACATAATCAGAATAAACTACCCGTCCTTTGACTGGGTGTGCAAAATTTTGCTTGTGCAGCAAAGTGTGGTTATGTATTCCTCTGTGTTGACCTTTGGAACTGCTTTTGTTGAGGCTGTCGCGGTCAACGAAGTTAATTAGGTCTATGAAACTATCCAAGAGTTTGTTAAAAGAGGTTAAATCACTCTGAGAAACTGTATCAGCCAAGTTGCTTTATTTAATTATACGTTGGACAGGGTAGTGCGCATGACACTTTTTCATGTTTTATTCAGTGCTGTAACTGTGTGGCATGAAATAAGGTATGAAAATGTGTCAAGAACGATTCATTCAGAGAGTAGGGGCTGAGAAAACTCATATCAGCATAAGATATCTTATCCTGTAGGGCTCTTTATAAAAGCAGTTGTAAAATTACAGACCTTGGATGAAGTCTTAATTACAATCTGTGAGCAGTTTTTATTGCTACACTTTTTCTATAACATTTGGAATTTGTAATGATTCTTTGTGTCTTTTCCTCAGATATTTACGTGGAGGATGATTGGCCACTGAGACGGTCCTACAGCGTTGAGGATTTTCTGTGGTCAGGTTCTGGAGATGGTCAACAGGATGGAGGTTCTGGAAGTGCAGGAGATGGTCACGCTACTTGGCAAACCATAACTATTGTCCACACTACAGTTATCCTTACCACAGTATACCCAACCCCTATTTATACAACATTTATAAAAGAATACTCTCCTC